TGCATCAATTCACAAGGGAATTTGTCCTGTGACTTTTATTTTTTCTTTTCTAGTAGCCACGGGAAGACTAGGATTTCATTTTCGTCCCTATCCTGCAATTCATTTTTTTTATATCCCTCATTTTTCTTTTGTATCTCTCCCTCACACCTTTTTTACGTGTTGCTATTGCCTTTGAGAGCTATTGAAATTGCAAGAATGCTTTTTGATATTTTCGTCCATTCATTAGAGGTGGCGGAAATTCTCGTCGCCATGGAGATTAAATCATAACTAAAATTCAAACCTTTTTGCCGAAAGCATTACGTCTTTTAATGTGGAATTCTTTCGCACTTTTTCTCCCTTATTTCCTTGGGCGGTATTGTATCGCATTTTATGAATTAAATTGATTGACTTGAATGCCGGCAATTTTTTAGAGGAATATTCTGCTCGATTATTCAGCAAATCGCGTGAGATTCCTTTTCAACATAACAATGCCCCCCCCCCCCCCAAAAAAAAAAAAAAAAAAAACGAGGAAGCCTCGCAAGTAAGCCTTCACTCCCCCCTCGGCTCCAGCCAAGGAAAGAGCGAAAGCCCCTCGCGCGGAGAAGGCGCGACCATTCATCAAGCCCAACTCATCAAAGAAAGGATCGAGAAGAGACATGATAGATGCTTGGCTCGATGCACCTGGTAAGTGCAGCAAGGTAAGTTCCGCACCAGAGTCTCATTTCCGAACTAAAAAAAAAAAAACCAAAGGTGGAAAATCGATATTCTCGGGTAAGAAACAACCACCCAGCAACTATTGAAAACCTTACGATGGTTAGCCTCTCCCCCTTTTTTGTTGTCAGTTTACCGACCATTTAGACGACTTTGACGCCCGAACGACTGGGTGTTCACACTCGTCGACACTCGAACGCATGCAGAAAGAAACTTGAATGATCCTCTCGGGCAAGTTCCTTGGAGGAAAGTCCTTTCAGAGAGATTTGGAGTTAGAATGAAGACTCGGGGGTGGGAGATTGGGGGAAACGAGGTCTTTGAGTTCTTGCTTTGCCATGAGCACGAACGTAATTAATTACTATATGATAATACAAGTAGGGTCGTGTTAGTCGCGGTTGCATTAGTCCATGCTGATTATAAGTTTTTTTTTATCATGCAGGCAACTTACAGCTTGCACACACTTCATTGCATGATGATAGGACAGAAAGTGCAGGGTGATTGAGGCTGCATGAGGCTGCATGAGGCTGCATGATTGAGGCTGCATGAGGCTGCATTATGGCACATTCAGAGCATTCGCAAGAATCTTCTCGAAAATGCGAACGGACTCGTCCATTCCTGTCCGTGACGGTCAAAGCATGCTTAATGCCTCTGCTCTGGCAGATGCTAGCGCGATTCACATGCGATGAAGAACAGAATAACAATTACGGCTGAGAATCTCTTCGAAGCAGGCGAAGCAAATGCTCCACGACAGGGCTCCTCAACCCTTTTCAAAAATCACTATCATGCCATTCAGGACCCCAAGCACCGGCCACCCATGCGCTAAAATCGCAAAGAAAACCATAACTTGGCATTTAGTCGCCGGTTCGCGACCCCAAATATGATCTTGGCGACCCCAAATGAGGGCGCGACCCCTCGGTTGGGAAGCCCTGCTCTGCGAGCATTTATTTGGAGATATGAAAAAATGACGGAGAAATTTAAGTTTCATGTGCTTCCCCCAATTGTCACGTTAGTCACGACGGAATCGACCCTTCACGATGTGATTTGCACGAATCATTACCCGTTTCGAAGAACTTGTTGGAAACACAAGGGATTCCAAGTTCGACTGTCGATCGCGATCGCGATCCCACAAAATTTTTTTTAATTCGTCTTTCTCACGCTATTTTTTTGTGGAAGCGTAGCATTCACCTTCGCGGATCGTGGAAGCGACCGAGAAAAACCTCAATAAAACTGTTCACGAGAGGTATTTACCCAAAAGGACCATCGAAAGTGTCAAAGGTTGCCACATAACAGAACCCACAAGATTCTTTGTTGACTTGTCACACGTCGGCCCTATCATTGTATACGGGGCAATAAAAAGTACTGCCCTCCCAAGGACAAGATATCGAGGCGGATGTGCCCCTCCCCCAGCAGCATGATTGAGTAATACTGCTTTTGATGGTTTTACGACCAGCTCCATAGACGAGACGATAGCAGGAGGAGAGTATAAAAAGGCAGGGAAGTCCTGGAAAACGCACAGCAAGTCAGATCAATCCCGATCACTTCTGTTCCTCTGGACGTTGCCTATTCGCAGCCCAAACCGCATCACCTCAGCCATGAAGACCCTCGTCGTCGCACTTCTGGGGCTCGCCTGCACCCAGGCATGTCTCCTATCTTGCCTTCTTTAACGTGTCTCCTTGCCTTGCATCTTACCGAGTTCCTTCGAGTCGTTTGAAAATGATCTCGTCGTTTGTAAACTCGTATCTCTTTTGATGTTTCTCATTTCATCCATTTTCTTTCGGACATCAATATTCCAGCGACTTCATCGACTTTTGCCGAGCTTCCACCTTGTAAATTTTGCTTAACACTAATTGTACAATCCCTTTCTCTGATATTTGCAATTGAACATGCATAATTTTTACTTTTTCTCGTAGCATGCTAGAATGAACTCACTCAGGGCCCCCACCGACGAACTGACGATTATTTCTCCCCTTCCAGGCGTTCATCATCCCCCACCCGAACCTGCCTTCCAGCATGGTGCAGGAGGTCGCAATGGAGCCCCAGTCTGTCGACTTTGGACCCCAAGCTGTCGACTTTGGACCCCAAGCTGTCGACTTTGGACCCCAAGCTGTCGACTTTGGACCCCAAGCTGCTTTCCTCCCGGCCGTGACCGGCATCCGCCCCAATGTCAAGCCCTCCCTCCCCGGACCCCAGGCCGTCCCCATCGGACCCCAGGCCGTCCAGATTAACAGACCCCAGGCCGTCCCCATCGGACCCCAGGCCGTCCAGATTAACAGACCCCAGGCCGTCCCCATCGGTCCCCAGGCCGTCCAGATTAACAGACCCCAGGCCGTCCAGATTGGACCCCAAGCTGTCGAGATGGAGCTCCCAAGCTGCGAATCCGTCGTTGCCTCTGGCAACATCCCCGTCCCAGTCCAGATCGCTGAGCCCTGCATCATCTCCACCCCACCCCAGTCCGTCCCCATCGGACCCCAGGCCGTCCAGATCAACAAGCCCCAGGCCGTCCCCATCGGACCCCAGTCCGTCCAGATCAACAGGCCCCAGGCCGTCCCCATCGGACCCCAGTCCGTCGAGATCAACAGGCCCCAGGCTGTCCCCATCGGACCCCAGTCCGTCGAGATCCAGTCCCCTCAGACCAAGCCCCAGATCATGCTCCCCATCGGAGGATCCGGCAGCGGTATGATCCTCCCCAACAGGCCCTGGACTCTTGAGGCTTAGGCTGTATGCGGACCTTGCAGCACGAAATAAAACCAAGCTTTCATCCTGATTTCTTGCCTTTTTATTTCTCCGAGACGAGTAGCTCCATCTCTTTTAAGGAAATCGATTCCAGAAGGATTTTCGACGAAATAACAGTCTGAGAATATGAGAGATCTTTTATCATACGTCTCTCTTGATGATTCGTTGAAGCGAAGGATTTACCCCACTGGGAATAAGGCCGTTCAACATAACAAAGCGTTTCCAGGATTTATGATTGTTGAAGGTCGAGTTCATGCGATGAAAACAAAAGGGATACATATCATCCTGAAAGCTTTTTTTTTCCATCTACAAGACTCTATACGTGGATGATGAAAGAGGGATCCTAATGCAGTATCTCCACAGAAGCTTATAGGGTCATGTCTTTATTGAGACGAACGAGTGGCCCGACGCTTCGGTATCCCTACTTGGCAGAGGAAAGAGATCGTCTTTCACCCATGACCGTGCAAGATAATAAAAAGAAAAAAGTCATGAACGATGAAAGCGTGTGGGAAAGAGGAGGAAGCTTTTTGATGGATCGCCTCCAGCCCCGGCTCCCCCCGGAGACATTAATGGCTCTTGACACATGAGGGAGGGCCGGGTGACCAATGTTCTCATCCGCAGACTTCCTCTCTTCAGTCTCAGCCAGACTGCATGATCCGTGTCGCGCTGATTCGTCTCGACGGGATCGTTGGGCAATGACCTTAAAGGGATTCCATCTATCATCGACTTCGCTTCTCGACCCCGCGTTTTAACCTGTCATGAAGGTATTTTAAATTGGCCCTTTGTCTTAATATTCCACTGACGTATTAGTGAGTTCTTCGGCCTCTATCGCCTTGCCTATCCACTCTGAAGGCCATCTATGTCCATCCGTATTTTTATTTCATCTGAAAAACTCCATCAGAATCTTTCGATTCAGCTGGCTTCTCTTGACTCATTTTAGTTTGTCAATATTCATTTTAAAAAGTAAAGTGCGTATTCCATTTCCATTCGAGCAGCATGGCCAATGTCAACATTGCCCTTCGGTAGTGCAACTCCCTCTATTCCTGGAGGAACCTGAAGAGACGACGTTTATCGAACTTCCAGTTGGATTCGCTCCCTTTCCATTCCATTCCCCTCGACGGCATGAATCACCCAGGAGGGGAAGGAGGGGAAAAAAGGAGAAAAAACACGGTGGGGAGAGGTTTCCTTCCGTCCGGATTCACCGACGCAGGGTTCATTGTGGCCTCCCGTTTTTCGTCAATCTGAATAATGGATGTTATTCGTATAAGGGGCCCAGGGAGGAGAATCTGCATTTCTTTCAAGGCTCGGAACGGTGATTTATGGCCGAGGAAAGATTTGAGGCACCGCCCATGCGAGAAATCACCATTCCCTCCCCAGCTGCCCTCCTCCCCCTCCCACCAGCTTTTTGTCTTCCATCCTTTCATGGATTCACAGGATTGGCTCCTCTTTTCTCAACGAAACTTACCTCTTAACGATTGAGTATTAAGGAAGGATGGGAAAGTTATGACATCCTCTCATCTGTATTAGTCGATTTAAGCCCTGATTCGTGCCGGAATAAATAGTACATGTAATGTGATGCTCGTCTTTTATTCGTCCGTACACACAAAAAAGCGATACCATTTGCGGCACATGCATCTCACGAAAGCATGATCATGAAATAGCTTGATCGCATGAATTCGAAGCCGTCAGCCCACAATTCTGGTTTCAGAACAATTCAGAATAGGGAGGCGAGAGACACGCCGAGAAAAGGAGAGAATCGAAGAATAAACTCTGACCCCCGATCCAGCAGAGGGTTTGCTTACTCAAACTGCACGCGATGCGAAAAGATTCATCTCTGTCTATGGTAATTTTTGCAGACTGGAAATCCTGCACGGCGAAAATGTTCCACTCGTGCGGAAACCTGAATATGCTTCACTAAACAAAAGGCACACGGTGCGAAACAGACGAACGAAGCGATCAGTGAGGAATGCGAGGTCATGGGCTGCTCAGAACATCATGTCCTTTGCCGTCAGGGCACCTGGAGGAGGTGAATGGTACACGGGAGGTGAAGGGGCACCGGGGTAAGGCATGGGGGCACGAGGCGAATATCCACCGGGACCGAGGACCTTCTGAAGAAATACGTCTGATGCCTTCCTACCTCTGGACTTGCTCGGGTCGACGGGATTCTTCTTCCCGAAAGTTCGGCAGCAGAGGAAAGCAGACACGTTGAAGAAGAGGAGGATGATGAGTTCCAGGATCTCGAATGCCATGACGAGGGCGATGCCGAGGTACAGGCCCATGGCTCCTCCAAGGCTCGCGATCAGGTTCGGAACCTTCATCGGGGAATGGAGGTTCATGGGTATTGGCATTTTATGGTGGGTGGAGGGGTAATTACTTTCATAAAGGTAATTAGCATATATACAGGGTGTCCCACTTAAAAGTCAACCCGCGTTCAATCGAACTCTGAATTCTAATCTGTGTTGCGCTACCGCGGAATCCCCCGTCGCCAACATAATTTCCATGTGACAGATATATGGAGTAAGGTGGGTAGGGGGATGGTGTGAAGTGAATGTTGCGAGCAAGGAAATCGCATTTAAAGTCTTTAAATGGGTTAACAAAGTAGATTGAAAGCGGGGTAACTTTTGAGTCGGACATCTTGCGCTTTTAAAAAAGAAAGGGGACATATTTCTATGATTTAGGGATGGAGTCTTTGAAGAAACTGCTTCATCTAACAGGTCTCAATTTCCTGTCTACGCCACTTGGTATCTTAAATTGCGATTTAATTTTATTCATTTATATAATGACCATGTAACTATTCATGCAGCCAGTATAAAGTATCGAGAAATTTCTATTATTTTAATTTTAAATGGCATGCACAGACTTTAAAGGAAGCGTCAAGTGCATCACGAGAATGTCCTATAGGTTCATCATACACCTTGCTCAGAGATTACTCTCCGGCGATTTCTACCAAGGATTCAACTCCAAGGTGTACAAAAGATTGATTTTAAGAAAAAACCACCAATATATCATTGTATGGTGTCTTTGAAAATTGCGACAGCAATATTGATTTGACCAAGCAGCCTGCTGACAGAGGTCGAATTTATTCCAATCATGATATTATTTTGGAGGAATAAATTTTGCCATTCCCTGAGCCGGATTGAGCCAAACACATGCCCTTCTTTTCCTTTCATCCTTTCGTTCTTTCTCTTCCTATTCTGCGGCGGTGAGAAATTACATATCGTTGGAAAGTTACATAAAGACGGTTTTCCAAGCGATTTGCTGTGATAGCAGCTTAAGGATAAGGAGTGACCCGGGGTAAAATACAAGCTAAAAAAAATGCCCGACGAGCAGACTGCATTGTCTTTCACAACATTGCCTTTGGAATCGATTCGACGTTGCATGAAGAAATCAACGAATGAATGGATTAGTTTGGATTGAATGAAAAGTAATAATGATGACCGACATCAGTTAGAGAATTACTTTTGTCTAAACGACTTGAACATTTCCCAGAACGCCGAAATTCATGGAGAACTTGAAGCTTAAAACACGCAAATGCGATTCATTTCGAGGAAAACGAGTCGGGAAGCGACAGACGTCGTATTTGGCCGACTCCCCCACGGTGTGCATGTTCAGGGACTTGAAGTAGATGTCGAGCTTGATGAACTCGTCCTTGATCTGCTGCCTCTCCGCCTTGCTGATGGTCACGTCCGTCGAATTCTCCCCCTCGTGCAGATACAGATATGCGATCTGGTTCTGCGGAAAGGAAAACCCATGGGCTCGAGATGAATCTGACGACGCTCCGTGGCTACGAGCCGCAGCGGTGAAATACCAGATAGGAATTGATAGGGATTGATAGGGATTAACAGGGATTAAAAGGAATTGATGATATTACCAGATAGGAATCTGCTGGCCAGGTTGACGACGTCGCGCTTGCCTCGAAGTCCACCTCGCTAGACGATGAAGAAAAACCGTGGGTCAAATCAAGCAGACTCCATTCCATCAGACTCGTTAAAGATCGAACTTACTGGCAAGCAAGGTTGCAGGGGCAGGAGATGGTTTGGTTTGCGATCAAGATCCTCACGACATTGATGCATATGTCGTCATCACCTGTTCAAGGAATTCCAATTTTTACTTGATCTCATGCCTGATAAACTTTGGGAGAATCAAAATTCTTAACTCACTTCCGACGGTTACGTCGCACCAGGGACCATCGAAGACGGTGCCGTTGTAAGAGAAACTGTCAGAGAAACGGGGATCTCGACAATAACAGAGCTCTTCCACCTTTTGTATCACGCAGTATCTCTCGCAAATCTGCAAGAAAACGTAATAAATTTGGATGACTGCAATGGTGTTTGGTGTTTGGCGAAAAAGTTATCATCGATGGGTGGCATCTGGCGAGGAATGAGGAAGAAACAAGTTGGTGTTTCATAAGATAGGTGTCGTGGTCAATCACTATTGATTTGATTCTCCGAAATTTTTTAAGGACTAGGGTTACTCCCATTCCCGATGACAGAACTTAGCTCATGGTGCATTGGAGCGGGAATGGGATGTTCAGACGATGGAAACATACCTGTGAGTTCAATGCTTTTTTTATTTTGACAATTCCGTTTCCAATCATTCCCATTGAAACTGGAGGGATAGATGAACGTAGTCGATGCATGTGTAACGAAAAATATTATCGAGTTGATAATTCTACTTAATAGATCAAATCTTGCTTTTCGGAGTACTAAAGTGCTCTTCGCATATTCACATACTCGATGCGCTGGAACATGTCAACGCCTCAACAAGCCGAAAAATATACTGTTTTGCAAAAGACGTACAGTGAGGGAGTAAGCAGGCTGATGCGAGGCCACAGTAGCATTGAAAGGTGTCTGACTCCAGTCGTCGAAGCAAGCAGACGGATATGGTGAGGGCAAGCGATCCACCATCATCTGCAACAACGAAGGCAGTTCCAACCCATTCAGGTCGAAGAAGGTTATAGAGGAAGGACGAGAGCTCCACCCCCTCTACCCCATCCCCCCCAATCACTACGTCCGCCAAGCTAGAGCCACGTTAGACGTACCGTGGAGATGGCAATGTTGTTTCTGGTGTTGGGCCTCATGTCCATTCCCATCTGGTTGGGAGCCGGGAGCACATCTGGGGAATGGAGGACCAGCCTCGCCCCAGCGTTCTGGGCGATCACCGACGGCATGTATTCGGTCTGGTTCAGGAATAGGTCCATGCTCAGACCTAGGAGTAAATATTTTTCTGTGAACGAATCCATATCCCAACACCTACAGCAATAGCACTAGTTTTAAAAATTGGATAGGGAACCGGAAAGTAATCCGGAGAGTCCAGTTTGTCGATTTCCTGGGAAGTAGTCGTCTTCTTCATTAAGGAGGCTATTGAAGGTATAGCAGGCTCCGTAATTTGGGTCAAAGGAATAGAGGAAATATCTGAAAACACCAATACGATCTCAAATTATACTCTTATTCTCTAATTCTCTTTTAATAAATACGAATTAACTTTTTTAAAATTTATTCTACATGACTGACTATGCTCTTGCGAAATAAGATTATTTGATACTCACTTCTCAAAGTGGCAGTCTCTACCCTGGAAAGAGCAACTCTTGATGAATTCATTCCAAGGCTGGGTGAGGTTCTGCCTCGTCTCATCGTCCAAACGCATGAGTTCGTTGAGGAACTTCATGGTGAGCTTGTAGGAGGTGGTGGCCTCGCTCGCCAGTGGGCTGAAGCCAGGTGTACTAAGCAGGTCACCCACGGTGTTGGAAAGGAGGCCGGTGACACCCTTGAGCACTTTTCCGACGAGGTTCGTCAGGGGAGCGGTGGTGCTGTTTACCAGGCCGAGCACTTGCTTTATTACTCCCAAGTCCAAACCGGTTGCATGTTGGAGGGTGTCTGTTAACTGGTAGATTGGGGACGTTGCGCCGCCAACGACGTCCACCAAGACATCGGAAAGATTGCCAGCTCCACGAATAGCGTCTTGGAGGCCTTGCAGGACGACGGATGTCTCTGATTGCAGCTTCTGGGTCAGATCGGAGACTTGGGAAGTCGCATCCGCGATCGTCTGGGTAAGGAGGGCGTTGGCTTGCTTCGTGATATCGCCAGTCAGATTTTGAACGGTGCCGGTCAGTTGGGTGGCTTGCTTCGTGATATCTCCGGTCAGATTTTGAACGGTGCCGGACAGTTGGCTGGTCAATTCGGTGGCTTGCTTCGTAAGGTCGTTGGTGATGCCGGTGGCCGTGCTAGTAAGTTGTCCGGCCAACTGAAGTGCTTGTTGAGTTGCGCCTTGGGTCAGATTGGTGAGTTGTTGAGTGAGGGTCCCAGCCTGATCAACAAGCTTCGAAGTCAATTGAGTTGCAGTTCCAGTCAGATCAGACGTCAATTGAGTGGCCGTATTTGTCAGTCCTGACAATAATCCCGTGGTGGTGCTCTGCAAGCCGGAAGTGAGGGTACTAGCAGTCGATAAGAGACCGGATGTCAATCCTGAAGTGGTGCTATTCAGGGTTGACGAGAGTTGGAGAGCCTGATTCGTTATATTTGACACCAACCCAGTGGCAGTATTTGCTAAAGTTGACGTAAGTCCTATTGCCGTCTGGGTGAGACCTGTTTCCAATCCCGAAAGGGTGCCCGTGAGGCCTGATGTCAATTGGGATGTGGAGTTGGTGAGACTGGCTGTGAGAGAAGTTGCCAAATTTGTAAGGCTGGACGTCAGTCCCGATGCCGTGTTGGTGAGGTCTGTCGTGAGAGAAGTCGCTGTGTTGGCGAGGCCTGACGTGAGAGAAGTCGCCGTGTCGGTGAGGCCTGATGTTAGAGCAGTTGCTGCGCCGGTGAGGTTGGAAGTCAGTCCAGATGCCGTGCCTGTCAGTTGGCTCAACAACTGAGTGCCGCTGTTGGTCAATGCACTTGTTTGATTGCCCAGAGTCGAAATGACGCCAGAGAGGGTTTGATTGAGGGTTTGTTGAAGTTGGTTGAGACTAGTAACCTGGCTTTGGATCTGAGATAGAGCAGTGGAAGCTGTCGAATTGAGAGCACTGGTGGCCTGGCTTAGCAACGGATCTAAAGTGCTGCTAATGAGACTAGTGATACTAGGGATGAGCGAATTCAAGTCCAAAGTACCAGTTACAGTATTCAAAGCGCTGCCCACGGCACTCGTAAGCCCACCCACCACTCCTCCAACGGTGCCTGTCAGGTTGCTCACAGTACCTGTTACGTTACTCAAGGCTCCTGTGACAGTCCCAGTTAGGTTGCTCAAGGTGCCTGTCACGCCACCCACAACTCCTCCAACGGTACCTGTCAGGTTGCTCACAGTACTTGTCACGTTACTCAAGGCTCCTGCAACAGTCCCAGTAAGATTGCTCAAGGTACCTGTCACGCCACCCACAACTCCTCCAACGGTGCCTGTCAGGTTGCTCACAGTCCCCGTCACGTTACTCAAGGCTCCTGTGACAGCGCCCGTGACGTTACTCAAGGTTCCTGTTACAGAATTCGTCAAGTTATTCACAGAACCTGTAACGTTACTCAAGGCCCCTGTGACAGCGCCCGTGACGTTACTCAAGGTTCCTGTTACAGAATTCGTCAAGTTATTCACAGAACCTGTAACGTTACTCAGAATTCCTCCTACTGAGCCTGTCAGGTTACTTACTGTACCCGTGACATTACTCAAAGCTCCTGTAACAGCGCCCGTCGCGTTACTAATACTACCTGTCAAGTTATTCACCGCACCTGTCACGGTACCCACTGCTCCTCCAACGGCACTCGTTGCGCCACCCACTGCACCTGTGACAACGCTGCCAATCGAGCCGATTCCTGTGGAAAAAGAGAAGAGCAATTGACTTCATTCGATTTTACCAAGGTGTTGCCACTAATTAACTCACCAGTTGAGATCACAACTATACTTACGCCACTTTCTACTAAATCCGTTACCCAGTTTGCAATATCATCAGTCAAATATATAACAACTGTACCCGTCACATCATTCATCATGCACCACTAAATCAATGAGTCAAAGTACGAGGGGTGAGAAGTTCCGGGATTTCTTTTTTTATGACCCTGTGGTTACTCTTTCCGACTACTGATCGCTATATCCTTCAAACTATTCCTCTTTGGCATCTGCACAAATTTTCCGTTGTTTTTTCAGCCGCTGGAAACATTAATGACGCTTATCTTTTGGAATCACCCGCAGTGCTAGCGTCGCGTTTAAAATTTTGCTTTGAATGCCTGAAATCTTCATTTCAGCGAACTCTTCAGCTTAGGGAAACAATTACAAGAAAAAATTACTAGGAGCTAAGTCCGGTGAGTTGGATGGCTTATGAAGCACGGGGATTGGTAGCTAAGTCAGACGTAAGTCAGGAACCGCTGAAACTGAAAAAGGAAGGAAATTTCAGGACATTTAAAGCAACATTACGAATGCGCCACGAGCGCTGCTGGTGATAAAAGAAAGACTAGTGTGAACAATGATTCCAACGGCTGAAGAAACATCGAAAATTTTGTATAGATGCCGAAGATGAATACTTTGAAGGATTTCTTTCGTCAGCAGTCGAAAAGTCACCACAGCGTCAAAAAAATGTTCGGTCCCGGAACTTTTTGATCACCCCTCGTACATTACTCGCGACAATTTCTCTATTCTCCACTCTCGCGGAGAACAGAGGAATTGGTTGATTTGCTCTGTGACTTTATGAAGATATCGTCTTCAATAAATTTACCAGCAGCTCTGAATTAACCTGGTTCTATATCAGCTATGACCCAAATTACATGTACTCCCCAATTGACTATGTCACATCTTCTCACAGAGCGTTCGATAGTTTGCTTTCAAGGAAATAACATACAGTCGAACTCGGTTATAACAACCTCGGTTATAACGAAGTCCATTCAAGGTCCCACTGACGAAATTGACAACGTTGATGTCCCCAATGCATCATTCTTAACTGGAATTCTCACCATAGGAAAAATGAGCTTTGGCGAGCCATAATGTTATCCTTCCTGGAATCGGCATTCCTTGAGAGTCTTGTGGGTATGATTGGAGAAGGGCGAAGGAAGGATAATCCCCAGTAACTAACAAGATCACCTTATCTTCAGTCGCCATAATTTTCATATCTTGTTGACGACATGGCCAGTGGAAAGCGAAAGAGGCAAGCCTTCACGATTGCAAGGAAAGTGTGCATGATTAATTTATTATAAAGTGCTCGAAGTAAAGATGAAGTCCCCCTCGAAAAACATGGACACCTGTTCATCTGCTTCCACAATTTGGGATAATCGTAACATCCGAGCTTACGAGAACATGTCACAAAACAAGAAACTTCGTAGATCTGTCGAGATGACGTCGACGAGGCCTTGCTAAAGTATAAGGTAGTTCAAGGTCCAACGAAGTGGGAACATTACGATTAGTGGATCAATCCTGAAACTGAAGCTAGTGTGGCATTATCGATGTTCACAGCAGTTGTAACGTTATATAGCATCTATTTTGAAAACAGGAAAAGGAAATGTCAATTAAGGCAACCTTGGTTATAACGACGACTTTTCCCTGGTCCCTTCAATGACGTTATAAACGTGTTCTACTGTAGCTCTATAACATGACGTGATACCTGTCCTGCATAAAATCGCATCATATCTTCCTTTCATTTCCTACTCTGGGAAAAGTAATTATATTCCTGTAGATGCCTGTCAAATGCACATCTCTCGAAAAAAGAATAATCGTCCCCGTGAATAGGTCTGGTTTCTTGATTGGAATAGGTTTCATTTCTTGATTATTGAAAAATACGCTTAAAGTAATATTGGCAATATTTTGTCATTCTTAAAAAAACATTTATCCATGTTATGTGTCGCCCAAATTTTCCAAAGTAAGGCATAACGGATTCGGTGGAAAGACACGCCTTAATTTATCCTCAATCATCCATGCAAGGTATTGCAGCGCATTGTGGAAGGACTGCCATTGTCAATCAACACAGTCAGGCAAAATCTAAACATATCCAGCTTCAAAACAATTTGAAATAAAGATATAGAAAATACAGAAATTCATTTTGGATTAAATGGTGAATATCAGGTTGGGCAGGAATATTTTCCGTTCTTCACAAGAATGCAGATCCAAAAATTCATTCAGTTTTACATGGGTCCTACCATATTCTATTCCATATTAAGTGAGCACATATTCTGATTAGAATATGTGCTCACTTAATGGTCTAAATGTCTTCATTAAAGTTTAGCCTTTGCTATTCAAAAGATGACGCAGATGACGATGCAGTAATTGCTTTGCGATTTGCCTGTGCGGCACAATAACGTCGCATGGATATTTCCTGTAGGTTGAAATGTTGAGACACGACAAAACCGCCGATTTTGCCGTTCTCACCTTGATGCCGCAGGAATGCGTCCCTGGAATTTTTCTAATGGTACTCGATCTTTTCCCACGTAAAGAGAAAGATTAGAATTCCTGAATAGTTTCCTTTACCGGATATGAATCCTAGATGATTTTAAAATCATTTAGGATTCATATCCGGTAAAGGAATCTTCACATGAAATCAGCTGCGGGACGGTAGTACTCGCTTGAGTATTTTCAAACTGAGAAGTAGCACAAATTTTCCATTGGGATCATTATTATAATGGTGTATCTGCAATATGAAGAAAAACGAGGAGGCAATTTTGCCAATGCCTTGAGTATTCAATGTTTGCATAACATGACACATGAGCGTCTCTTTAATGTTGAACCATGCTTCATTTCAAAATTGCTATGACATTACGAGGTAAATCAATCTTCAACACAACGTTGCGATAGCATTGCTGCGTTGAAAAATCATTCCTTGTTTAAGGTTGACCCAACGCTCTTGTGTCATCTCTGTGTGACCATGCAACGTGTCATTGGACTGGTGATTCGTGAGTGCCTGTGAACAAAGCCAATGAAATCAACCAGACACAAAAAACTCCTACCTATTTCTGTTCCTGAGTTCATGACACTCAAGTCACATCCAGGTAAGTACGAAGCGTAAATCGCCCCAGACGTGACGTTTGCAAAAGGCAGCGTTGATATCAATAATAACTAAATCACATTTTGCAATAACCCTGCAGCATCATCGACTGCATATGTCAAAGTAGTATTTACACAAAAAAACATAAATACCTGGGAAAGAGAATACTTGAACCGGACCATCCCCTATATTACAGGCAATAACTTTCCAATTTCGACGACAGTTTCTGTAATTTTTTAATGAACATGTTGCCGCTTATATCATGATTCATTTATAGTTTCCCTCTTTCTTAATTGGATGAACGGCATTAATAAAATGGGAGCATAGGCATCCTTAGAGAACCTGTATCAGTTCACCTTCGGGTACAGCCGCTCAGGTTCCCTGCCACTGAATTCAGTAATTATAATGCTCTTTCTCGAGTGGAACCAGAAGATGGAGTGGAACCATTCATTTCCAACTATCTAGAATGAATGTTATTGCATTCATTCTACAGGGTGTCCCATAAGTCTGGAACCATAAGGTAAAATAAGTGATTCATGTGCTACACATATGCGGGAGCGCATCATCGACGCATGTAACACCATCACTCCTGACATTATTCGAAGTGTGATTGCAGACTGGATACCTGGTCTGCATTTGTGTATCAATCATAATGGTGGACACATTGAACACGTTCTGTGAATACAAGTCGTTATCATCATTTTGCCCTATGGTTCCAGACTAATGGGACACCCTGTAGATAGATGCAAATGAATGTAAAGCCAGTGTCTTTCCTACGATTTCAACCCATGACATGGAGGCAACTTACCAGTTGATACTGTAGGGATGGCTCCAAGTGCTGTCGTGGCAATAGGTATTGAGATAGTAGGAATCGTGATGGGTACTGGGACTGATGGAGTGGTGATAGGTACTGCGAGCGGGGGAGTCGTAATTGGAGGAAATGTAACTTCAGGAATCGTGATTGGAGGAACGGTGACTTCAGGAATCGTGATTGGAGGAACTGTGACTGCGGGAGTCGTGATTGGTAATGCGACTGTGGGAATCGTGATTGGAGGAACTGTGACTTCAGGAATCGCGAGGGGAGGAACTGTGACTTCAGGAGTCGTGATTGGTACTGTGAGCGGGAGAGTCGTGATAGCTACTGTTGGTACAGTAAGTAGATCACCACCTGAAAGCCACAGAATCGTTGAAGAGTTTCAGTCTTCCAATTAGTGGCAGAAGGCTCTAATCTATTGAGTTCCACGTGTTGACTTTATGCGCATGCTTGTAGAGTTTGTTCATCAGTCCGTGCCAGTGTGAACTATATATTGGGATCTCGAATCCATGGATGCTACCCGCAGACATCATATGTGGGCGTTAGATTGGTTTATGCAGATTTATAACGCGATGACATTTCCATGCCTTTTAACTGTAAGTTCTATTTGTGCTTCGGATTTTATGTTGGGCCATGGGTTCTATTGCCATTTACAGTATTATCTTATTAAATTTGCACTATTTTGAGAGTCTCGTTTCGTCTTCATCCTCTTGTCGGTTTTGTCGAAGCTTTTGATTGCCAGGAATGATGCCCAATGTGGTGATGCTCTTCCTTCGCCTTGAATGGAAGTTGAACATTTTCCTTTTTTTAAAATTTAAGTTCCTCCACGGTAGGAAAGTATATTTTCTTTGTCATGTTTCATCGGTGCAGTTCCATCC